TGGCTTGATTTCAAGGAACATCAATCTCAATATCCTGCTCACGCATGAAAAAAAACATAATCTCCCTAGCCCATGTATCATATTGTTTGAACATCGCAGGAGTTTATTGTGAGGCTAATGTGCAGAGATCGGGGGCAGACCCTGGTACACAGGAGGAAACCTCTGTGAGTGGCAGGCTGGACTGGTGATGGATGGGTCACCGTGGGCGGGGGAGATCTCCCTCGCAAATGTTCTGCCAATGTTGGTCACCGCCATGCACTGTCTCTCTTTCCGGCCTTGAGTTCCAAAGTGCAAAGTGGTTCAGTCATGTGGGCCAAAGTATACCTGCTTATCGAAGCCCAAATCCAGCTTCATCTGTAGATGCAGGAATGATTAGCCATGCAAATGAGAGATATCAATTAAATTCTTTGGATACTGACAGGGATTCAAGGCTGATCATGTTGCCGATGGTGGATGGAATAGACCCATTCACTTTGTTACTCGTTAGGTCCCTGAGGATGTACACACACACAGAGTTCCATCCAAGGAATAAGAGGGATACAGCAAGTGGTTGGGGGGAGAGGAAAGTGGAAATGGAGTCTAAAAAGACCGTGAGAGTTGAACACGTAAACATACACACTCTAATAGGCGGTGTTGGAAGTGGGAGATGTTACGCTCAGATTTGAATGTCACTTGAGGTACCCGTTCTGATAGGTTGCCTCCAACTGTGAGCAAACACATGTTTTCTATACTACACTTTTGGCTTTCTAACACGTTTTGTAAAGAGCAGACATCAGAAGAATGGAAAACAGGAGATACCACAAGAGGCACTGTATTGAATGTTACACAAGCACACCAAGGCAACAGTGAAGCCTATAGTGCTAGTGAAGCAATAGTAAGCAGGCAAATTTATGGGATTCTGTCAGGTCAGCCAGCAGCTCTGGCCAGAAAGGCTGGATTAGATTAGGGTTGACTGGTTTTGAGGGGCAGTCATTTTTCTTTTCTTTTCTTTTCTTTTCTCCGAGACATGATTTGTGTACGATGGAACTATTAGACGCTATACCTGGTAAGATTGCGCCTTTCATCGTCACTGCCAGCTTGATTTCAAAGGTTCCCACTTTCATCATCCTCCCATGTATGGAATTACCATCCTCGCCCATGTAATTTGTCGCCTGAATGTTGCAGGACCATATTTCGAGGCTAATGTGGGGATATCAGCTGCAAAAGAACCTGGTACCCACGAGGTTACCAATGTGAGTGGCGGGCTGGACAGCTGACATAACGACGCTGTCAGGAGAGATCTCCTGCTCCGCCAATGTTGGTCACCGCCGTGCACTGTCTCCATCCCTAGCCCTGGAGTCAAAAGTGCACAGTGGTTCAGCCATATGGCCCAAAGAGTACCTGGACAGAGGACATGGAGATCCTCCCAGTGTCACCGGCCAATGCTCGGTTGTCATACAGTGCTGTGAAAAGGTGTGTCTGGCTGCACGTAGAACGTAGGTCTGCCAATCAGGCCGACCCTACACCTGCCTGCCGTTGCTGCAGCTGGAAACTCTGCAGTAGTGGCTGCCACTGCAGCAAAGCCAGCCTTGGAGAATATTTTCCTGGTGATGGGGACATTGGTGCATAGGGGGAATGGCGCCAGAATCTCCCCACCACTTCATTTTCAGAGAATTTCACGCTCAATCTCCTGCCCACGTTTGGAAGATTCAGAATCTCTCTTGCCCATATACCTTGTCACTTCAACATTGCAGGGCCTTGTCGCGAGGCTAATGTGCAAAGGTCGTCAGTAAACCCCCGGTACCCAAGAGGTCACCACTCTGATTTGCGGCCTGGACCGGTGACACATCACGTGGGTGGGAGAGATTTCCCTCGTGTCCGCGTGCCAATGTTGGTCACCACCATGCACCATCTCCTTCCCCAGCCAGGGCTAAAGTGCACAGTGCTTCAGCCATATGGGCAAAAGTGTACCTGATAAGCAAATCCTGAAATCCTCCTTGTCTCAGCGGTAGTCATCCCCTGCTCGGCTGTCATCACAGTGCTGAGAAAAGGTGTGTCTGGCAGCACGCGAAGCGTAGGTCTGCCAACCAGGACGGACCCCACACTTGCCGGCTGTTGCTGCAGCTGCAAAACCGGCGGCACTGGCTGCCTCTGCAGAAAATCCAGCCTTGGCGAAGATTCCCCTGGTGATGGAGGCATCGGCGCAGAGGGGGAATGGCGCCAAACTCTCCCCATGACTTCAGGAGCACCTTCCACCCCCAATGGGTCTCGATTCAACTTTGTGCTGGTGCAGATGCTCCCTGCTCACACGAAGCTTCGTGTGGGACCATCATGCGCTATGAACCACGGCAATGGACTTCCATTCCTCCTGCCACAGATCCGCCCACTCGACCCACTGCTGCCACCTCCCCCCTCCTAGGACACAGCCACCGCCACTGGTGCCATGCCAGCCTCCAGTAGTTGTGGACGAGCGGGCTGAAGCTGTAGCGGAGAGGATGGAGCTTGTGGCTATCGCAGGCTCAGGAGGAGGCCGGCAGGTAACTCATGAGCTCCCGCATGCTTGTGGAGCACAAGGTCTGTTGAGGGCGCTTTCTACTTACGTTTCAAGGAGGTGCGAGTGCTGGCGGAGTTTCGCTGCAGTTGCATTATGCTGGGGGGATGGCTGCAACTCTGCTGCTGTGGGGTTGGGGAAAACTTCGGTGGAGGCAACCCAGATGACAAGCTTGGGTCCTCCCACCTGACACGTGAGCTGACACTGGTGAGTAGCATTGAAATCGAGTAGGAGCACATATGGTCTGCAGTCACTGTATTCAAAAGGATATTCTTGGTCGTTCCTACTTCACAGCCACTGGAAGGAGCACTACATATGGATAAGGCAATGAAAATTTTTCTAGTTTATGTGAATGTAATGATAAACGCAAGATCCACATACATCTGGCGGCAAACTGGCATCTCCATGCGGATTTGACAGATTGTGGCGAGGCATACAAGCTCGTTCTCGCTCGATTGGTTTGCGTAACATAGATGAGCCACAGGCCTAATTAGCTGCCCACTCATCTCATCGGCCAGTCAGCTCGTTGTGCAATTTAACGATTAAGCTGGTCATAGGCCTATGCTCAAACCCATTATTCGTAGGAGCCTTGCATTGTGAGTCATTTCCAACAGCTCCAAATGCTCATATTGCCAAGCTTGGACCCTCTAGTCATGATGTAGTTCAAATTGAATGGTGTGGGACAGTGTGGTTGGGCCAGCCTGTTTGGAACACGTTCCGGACTGCCCTTTTTGCATGTACCGCTTGTCGATCTCAGCCTGGCAATTACTAGCCCGGCCTGTTGGGTCAGCTTGCTGCAGAAACATCATGTACAATGACTAGTTGTAGCATGGTCTGAGTCCACCAACTAGTCACCTTGCTGCAGATCTCTGGCAAACTTGCTGTAGAACCAACCTACCATAGGCCGCCCCCCTGGCCCTGGGTTAGCGGGCTTGCTCAACCCAGCGCCAGCCCGTGGTCATGCCTAGCATGTATGCTCGTTCTCAAATCAAGTTGACTTGGTGTCGCCATCGCAGTCCCTCTAATTTCTGAACTCGTACGACGTCATGTTGGCCCTCTTTCCCATTCCCTTCATGATGCTTACAATGTCTGGAGATTGCTCAGGCTACGGATGGTGGATGGAATAGACCCACTCAGAGAATTGTTGGAAAGAAACCTAATGATACAACATATGAAGGGTGTATGGGCGCACAGAAACAAATACAGCAAGAAAACAATACCTCAATTTATGGACACATGAGTGTGGCTGCATATAAAGCGGATACGATCAAACCATTGCTACAGAGCCCATGAAAAGGGTGCCATGAAAGTGTATAAAAAAAGAACTGAACTAAAATGTAGGAGAGGGATGAGTGAACATGACATGCTGATATGTGACTTGTGATACAAGCTACCTACTTTAAAAGGTGCCTGATTGTGAGCACAACACAAAGAAGCTGCTGAATTTAACCATCGACATTATTCCACAACACTGCAAGAAACAATGGTGAATGATGTGCCGGGGTAGCCAAATGTTAGCATTTTGACACTAGATGTTTTAAGGACATATTGACAAACCCTTCATATTATTGTCAGTGTCCACAAAAATGAACTCTGGAGGCTCAGTTAGGGGGCCTCATAACCTTGCCCGTGTATCTTACCACCTGGACATCTCGGGACCTTATAGTGAGGCTAATGTGGAGAGATTCGCAGCAAATCCTGCTCACCACTGTGAGTTGCGAGATGGACCGGCTCAAAACAGTGACAGGTCGCTGTGGGCACACAGGAGGAATGACTGCATTCTCTCTCCGCCAGTTCAGGGACACCTTCCATCCCCAGTGGATCTCAATTCACATTCGCGGAGGTCAGTTAGGGCTCTCTTTTTGGATTCCTTGCCGATATTCACAAATTTTTTAGGCTGCTCATTTTGCCGATGGTGGATGGAATAGACCCACTCAGAGCGTTGTAGCTGAGTTCTCTGGTGGTAAAGCAAGCGAAATATATTATGGGTGGAAATAAATGAAGACAACTTGCGCCTTATCGCAAACATGCAAATGTGTACACATTTAGAAGCAGGAGAAAAGGATATAGAGTACTCAATGTTTGTGTTGGTGGAAAGGCACAGCAGGATACAACTGTGACCTGAAACTAAGTTGCAGAAGACGCGTCTAGCGTCTTAGACGCGTCCGTCTAGACGCAGCGTCTAAGACGCTAGACGCTAGTGAGGCTGGATTGGACGCAGTACTAGACGAAAACCCGGGCAGGCCTAAAAAAAAGTTCGGGCATACCAAAAAAAGTACCAAGGGGCATGGGGAGGGTGGGGAACATGCACCTATGTCACAATGGGGTGAATTTTTCCCTGTACCATAATTTTTCCCCCATTCTTAGACTTCACAAAAATGATCATCTTATGTAGTTAACCTTCCATGTCTCTCTAGTAGTAGCAAACTTGAAAAACATTACTACTACTACATATCTGAGCAATCACTTCCTAACTCTCCTCCTCCTCATCCTCCTCCTCCTCCTCATCCTCCTCCTCCTCCTCTTCCTCCTCCTCCTCCCCTTCCTTCTCCAGCTCCTCCTCCTCCGCCCACTCATCGAGGCACACGTCGTCCTCGTCCGCCTCCACCTCCCCATCCTCCTCCAACTTGTACCCCTCGGGGATGGGGGGGAGGGGGGGGAATGTTTCCCTCCACCACTGCACCCTTCCTCCCCACCACACTAGGTCCCGCTTCCGCATCCTTGTGGAACTTGTGCACAACATTCCAGTTGTGCGCAATGTACACAAGGTTGCGCACATTCGCCGACCCAAGCCTGTTCCTGCGCGCCGTGTGCACGCCATCCCATGTAGACCAGCCCTGCTCGCATGGGGAAGCGGAAATCGCATGGGGAAGCGGAAATGGCCTGGGACAGCGTGCGCCGCGCAATGCACGCCAGGTCGGCGTACTCCCATCCATTGTACTGCCACCACAACATCACGTTCCCCTTCCCCAGCTGAATCTCCCCACGCCCATCGATCACGGTCTGTGTGCCGAATCCTCCTTCGCCGTTGATGTAGGCCGTCACCCCCTCATGCAGCGGCCTCACCAGTCCCTTCTTGCCACGGTTCTTCTTCCAGTACTTGTCAACGAACGCCTTCTGTCGCTCCAGCCACTCGTGCATGAACTCGGTGCACTCTGCATCCTGCAGAAAGATCCCCTCCTCCTGGTTCGCCGGGAACAAGATCCAGCCTGCCACGTGGAGGGGGCAAGCCAGGCTCTCGTCCCAACGCCTCCTCAAATGCTCCCACACCTTTTCCTTATCCTCCGACTTCAGCTTGCACTCCCTCCCCTCCAGCAGCTTATCCAACTCCTCTGTCAGCTGCAGCATGATGTCGTACAGCTAGCCCATCATCCCCTTCACCGCTGAATCCATCCTCCGCATCACATTGCAGAACAGCTCCATCACCTGCAGAAAGACGTCCACCTTCTTCCACCACCCCTGGTCCATCACCCACCCCTCAAAATCCGCTCCTGTAACCGTGCTCCCCCCCCTCTCCGGCCAATCCTTGTGCGTCACCATCGCCGTGAGCTGCTGGCGAACGTCGCGCAGACAAGACACTGTGATGAACTGCATTCCGAAGCGCGTGCTTGCTAGGCGCAACACCGGCAGCGATTTCTTCTTGCCGTGCAGCTCCGTGTCGCGCAGGAAGGCGCGCATGCACTGGTGCCCCCGCACGAAAGAGATCATGTTGTCAGTCTGGGTCACGACCACCTGCGCCCAGTCCATCTTGCCCACGTCCTCCATCAGCAGGTCCAGCACATGCGTCGCACAGGGAACGAGCTCGAGATGCGGCCACTCCTTCCGCAACAGCTTGCCAGCCTTCTTGTAGTTGCTGCCGCCGTCCGTACACAGCGCCACAACATGCTTCGCCTCGATGCGCTCGATGATCGGCTGCAGTACGCTGGCGATGAACTTGCCACTCTTCGTCACCACCTTGCAATCGACAGCCTCAACGAAGACCGCTCCAGTTGCAGAGATAACTACTACAACGAGAGCTAGACTACGCGCTGGGCACGGGTGCTCGTGTGATCTCTGCGTTCGTTGGTCCTTAGTCGTTTTCCTAGTGCACATACAGCTTGCTAGTTCACGGGGAGAATTGGCAAGAGTTTCACTAGAGAAAGTTGACAACAATGGTACAATAAAGTTGGCATGGCAAGACTACATCAGAGCTAGCATTCAGGTCGGTCGACTGCCAGCGCAGCATGGTCGACCGCGTTCCAGCTGTGCAAAGTCGACGGCGTGCCAACGTCGCAGGTTGACGGCGTGCCAGCGCTGCTCACGCAGAACAGCAGCACACCCGCTTCGCAGGTGCTCGCAGATGATTGGCGGTCTGAGCCTCGTCACCTGCACAACGCACACACCAAGTCAACCTGGCGCTGATGACTGCTTCTGATCAGCCACGACGACCTCGGGATACCACCACCAAAGTCGCGCTCGCCAACTTCGCCTGGGCGACCGTCGCACTCCTCCGCAGAACCTCGTCACCTAGGTAACCTGGTCAACCGAGCAACCACGTCGACCAGCTGCTCCCGTACGTGCCCGTCGACCTCCCAAGTCGACGGCCACCTCCAAGTCGACCTCACCAGGTCGACCACACCCCTGGTCGACCAGCTCCAGGTCGACGTCACTTCTGGTCGACCAGCTCCTCGTCGACCAGCTCCTCGTCGACCAGCTTCATGTCGACTAGCGCAGTTGTCGGCTGACCACCCAAGTCGGCTACCCGAAGTCGGCGTCACGAAGTTGACGCCCAGCTACTCGACGCCCAACTGCTCGGCGTCCTGAGTCGAGGTCGACGTCGGCCCCTCCTTCGTCGACCACCAGGTCAGGTCGACCACCAGCAGGTCAACCAGCAGGCCTGGTCGACCAACCACCAGGTCGACCAGCAGTCCGTCAGCCGACCACCGAAGTCGGCTTCCCCAAGTTGACATCCTCCGTAGGTCGACTTCCCAAGTCGACCTCCCTGCAGTCGGCGCCACCCTGAAGTTGGCGCCCGTACAGTGGTCTCCATGCAGGTCGGCCTCCTCGTCAACCAGCTTGCCCACTGCTGCAAGTCGGCTGCTCCCCTCACACCCGACAACGAAGTCGGCTCCGCCCAAGCGAGGACGGGGCCAACACACAACTCCCGTTGACACCAGTGTCGTTGATGCAGATGATGTTCATCTGCGTGCGGCCGCTCTTGTCCTGCATCATGTCGCTGACGATCGTCACGCCCGTCTCCATCCACGACTTCGATACCGGTGACAACGCCTCTCAATCCGCTGCTTGCACTCAAGCAGGCCGGCGCCTCCGACGTAGTGCCGCATGGGGGGGACGTAGTTTGGGCCGGCAGCGGTGACAGCTCGCAGCATGTTGAGGAAGAGCGGGTGCTCTCACAGAGACTCTGGCGTGCGCGTCCCCGCGAGGTGTCAGAACACTTGCACTGGGGATGCCCGAGAGATCCGTGGGAAGGGTTACAGGCTCATTGGCCTAGGGGGTTATGGGCGCATTGACCCGCTACAGAAACAAGCCCTTTTATTGCAGTGGTCTAGTGACTGGGATTCTGACATGGTATCAGAGCGATCTCGGGTTCAAATCCCCATGTGCGCACTTGCTGGCGGGGTCGCTGTGCCGTGTCCTATGGCATCCAAGTGAATAGGGGTGTCAGAACACTTGCACTGGGGATGCCCGAGAGATCCTTGGGAAGGGTTACAGGCTCATTGGCCTGGGGGGTTATCGGCGCACTGACCCGCTACAGAAACAAGCCCTTTTATCCCAGTGGTCTAGTGACTGATATTCTGACACGAGGTAGAGGACAATCGCCTCGTTGGCCGCCCGCCTTGCCGCTTGTCCACCCTCGCCATAAAAGTCATCCATGCGACCGCGCTTCTTCTTCCCTTTCGCCTCGCTCTTGCCACTCACCGAAGCGACCGCCGCAGTCGTCGCCCGCGCCTTTTGGTTGCGCGCCCGAATCTTCGCCTCGAACATTTCGCGAATCTCCGCGGAAATCTCCGTAGGCACATCCTTGCAAACGACTCCCGCCTCGCGGCGACGGTGCGGGTCATACCATTCGGCGAGATGCTTTGAGCGCGGCTACTACTAAAAGAAAACTTCTTGTGGCAAAAAAGGCACTCGACTTGCTCGCCCTTCTTCTCGGATCCATAAAGAAATAATAGTGCTTGTAGATCGGGTGCTCGGGATGCTTAGACTTCTTCTCAACCCCCTCCATTTCTTGCGAAACACGAGCGGATACACCCTCGCCGACGGCAGTCTCGCTCGCGGAGGAGGAACTACTAGACGAAGGGCTACTACTAGAAGACATGGTTGCGCGCGCGGTGGAAAGAGCTAAACCCTAAGGGTTTTCGACAGAGATTTGAAAGAAATGAAGGTTGGGGAGCACAAATGAGGGATTTGTGCTCCCCAACCTCTTTGTGGTTAACCATAGGGGTTGGGTTTTGTAGATAATGAGTGGAAATTGAATTATTTTTCGGGCTGCCCGAAATTTTTTTAGCCATGCGTCTTGCGTCTAAATCAGCCGTGCGCCGTCTCCATCCGTAGCCCTGGATTCAAAAGTGCACAGTGGTTCAGCCATATGTGCCAAAGTGTACCTGGATAGAGGACATTGAAATCCCCCCAGTGTCACCGGCGATCCTCCCCTACTCGGCTGTCATACAGCGCTGTGAAAAGGTGGGTCTGGCTACACGTAGAACGTAGGTCTGCCAATCAGGCCGACCCTACACCTGCCTGCCGTTGCTGCAGCCGGAATCTCCCCACGAGTTCCACCCCGAATGGATCTCGAGTCAAATATGTGCTGGTGCATACGCTCCCTCCTCACACGAAGCTTCCTATGGGACCATCATGAGTTATGAACCACGGCAATGGGTTTCCATTCTTCCTGCCACAGATCCGCACACTCGACCCACTGCTGCCACCTCCCTTGGTCCCGGACGCACCTGTCTCTCCTGGGTGAACTTTCCCCTGTCCACGTTTCTTCCTAGGACACAGCCACCGCCACTGGTGCCATGCCAGCCTCCTTGTGGACGGGCAGGCTGAAGCTGTAGCAAAGAGGATGGAGCTTGTGGCTATCGTAGGTTCAGGAGGAGACCAGCAAGTTCCTCATGAGCTCTCCCGCATGCTTGTGGAGCACAAGGTCTGTTCGGGGCGCTTTCTACTTGCGTTTCAAGGAGGTGCGTGTGCTGGCGGGGTTTCGCTGCAGTTGCATTGCATAATAATGGGGGGATGGCTGCAACTCTGCTGCTATGGGGTTGGGGGAAACTTTGGTGGAGGCAACCCGGATGACAAGCTTGGGTCCTCCCACCTGACACGTGAGCTGACACTGGTGAGTAGCATTGAAATCGAGTAGGAGCACATATGGTCTGCAGTCACTGTATTCAAACGGATATTCTTGCTCGTTCCTACCTCACAACCACTGGAAGGAGCACAACATATGGATAAGGCAACGAAAAGCTTTCTACTTTATGTGAATGTGGTGGTAAAACGCAAGATCCACATACATCTGGCAGCAAACTGGCATCTCTATGTGGATTTGACAGATTGTGGCGAGGCATACAAGCTCGTTCTCGCTCGATTGGTTTGCGTATCATAGATGAGCCACAGGCCTAATTAGCTGCCCACTCATCTCATCGGCCAGTCGGCTCGTTGTGCAATGGAACGACTAAGCTGGTCATAGGCCTATGCTCAACCCCACTATGTGTAGGAGCCTTGCATTTGTGAGTCATTTCCAACAGCTCCGAATGCTCATATGGCCGAGCTTGGACCCTCTAGCCATGATGTAGTTCAAATTGAATGGCGTGGGACAGCGTGGTTGGGCCAGCCTGTTTGGAACACGTTCCCGACTGCCCTTTTTGCATGTACCGCTTGTCGATCTCAGCCTGGCAATTACTAGACCGGCCTGTTGGGTCAGCCTGCTGCAGAAACATCATGTACAATGACTAGTTGTAGCATGGTCTGAGTCCACCAACTAGTCACCTTGCTGCAGATCTCTGGCAAACTTGCTGTAGAACCGACCTACCATAGGCCGCCCCCCAGGCCCTGGGTTAGCGGGCTTGCTCAACCCAGCGCCAGCCCGTGGTCATGCCTAGCATGTATGCTCGTTCTCAAATCAAGTTGACTTGGTGTCGCCATCGCAGTCCCTCTAATTTCTGAACTCGTACGACGTCATGTTGGCCCTCTTTCCCATTCCCTTCATGATGCTTACAATGTCTGGAGATTGCTCAGGCTACGGATGGTGGATGGAATAGACCCACTCAGAGAATTGTTGGAAAGAAACCTAATGATACAACATATGAAGGGTGTATGGGCGCACAGAAACAAATACAGCAAGAAAACAATACCTCAATTTATGGACACATGAGTATGGCTGCATATAAAGCGGATACGATCAAACCATTGCTACAGAGCCCATGAAAAGGGTGCCATGAAAGTGTATAAAAAAAGAACTGAACTAAAATGTAGGAGAGGGATGAGTGAACATGACATGCTGATATGTGATTTGTGATACATGCTACCTACTCTAAAAGGTGCCTGATTGTGAGCACAACACAAAGAAGCTACTGAATTCAACCATCGACATTATTCCACAACACTGCAAGAAACAATGGTGAATGATGTGCCGGGGTAGCCAAACGTTAGCATTTTGACACTAGATGTTTAATGGACATATTGACAAACCCTTTATATTATTGTCAATGTCCATAAAAATGAACTGTGGAGGCTCAGTTAGGGGGCCTCATGGCCTTGCCCATGTGTCTTACCGCCTGGACATTTTGGGACCTTATAGTGAGGCTAATGCGGAGAGATTCGCAGCAAATCCTGCTCACCACTGTGAGTGGCGAGATAGACCGGCTCACAACAGTGACAAGTCGCTGTGGGCACACAGGAGGAATGACTGCATTCTCTCTCAGCCAGTTCAGGGGCACCTTCCATCCCCAGTGGATCTCAATTCACATTCGCGGAGGTCAGTTAGGACTCTCTTTCTGGATCCCTTGCCGATACTCACAATGTTTTGAGGCTGCTCATTTTGCCGATGGTGGATGGAATAGACCCACTCAGAGCGTTGGCACTAAGAGCTCTGATGGAAAAGCAAGCGAAGTATATTATGGGTGGAAAGCAAGCGAAGTATGTTATGGGTGAAGAAAACTTGCGCCTCATGGCAAACATGCAAAAGTGTACACATTCAGAAGCAAGAGAAAAGGATATAGAGTACACAATGTTTGTGTTGGTGGAAAGACACAGCAGGATACAACTGTGACCTGAAACAGCTATGCATGCACAGTGCTTAAAACAGCATACTCCATCGCATAATGTCTTCACTGTCTGCATTTGAACAAATTGATTTTGTGAAGGAAAGTCTGTAGGCCAGCAGCGTTGGCAAGACACTTTGTTTTTTTTTCTGTAGGGAAAAGGAGAGTTCAGGGATGGCTCAGATTTGACCAACGATGATGGCAGCTTGAGAATGGCTGGTCTGATGACTATATTTGGGTATGATCAAGCTGATGGCAGACTATATGCCATGGCTTTGGGTGTTTTCCGTTCGCTACGAGCTTGATTTCATAGAATTTCACTCTCATTTGAACATGAGGAACAGCCAGAACCTCCCTTTCCCATGTATCTGGTCACTTGGACATTGCAAGACCCTATCATGAGGCTAATGTGCAGAGGTAGGCGACAGACCCCAGTACCAAGTAGATGGTGAGGATTCTTCCATACTGATCCCAGTTAGCTACCCATGGCGGTCTAGGATGCTGCCTTTTTTGTGAATGTCCTGCATTCTGTGCGTTTTCTTTTCCAAAAAGAGAAAGCAAAGGCCGATCTAAGAGAACATTGACGCATCATAGATGCAAAACATGGACTACCCATGCTCGCATCCCAGTGCGTCTTCTCTCCCTACACACGCAACTTAAGGCCGTGCTCAGTATGTGGCAAACCTTTAGGGGACTCCTAAAGAGGGAAATTAAAGACCAATTTATGAACACATTGACGCATCAAATACGCAGAAGATGGACTGCTCATGCTCGCAACCCAATGCGTCTCTCCCCACACATACAGCTTAAGGCTGTGGTCAAGTATGTGGAAAATCTTAAGGGAACAGGGAAATTGAAGACCAATTAAAGAGCACATTGACTCATCAAAGACGCAAAAGATGGGCTACTCATGCTTGAAATGTATGCCTTTCCCTACAACATGACAAAGGGCAGGTTCCCTTGTGACTTGTGCCAAACTGGTTTATCAAAGGTCAAACGGTGCCCTGATTTTCACCGGCCAGCCCGCACTACTTGAACTGTTCTGATGTCAGACTGCTTGAATCGTTTTGGTCCTCAGTGAGAAGGTATATGCCTGGAAAACCAGGCTGCTTCAATCCCGTGGCCCATGACAAACCCCACCACTGCTGCCGGACAAGGGCACAAGACACCGACACATATTATCCCGTAATGTGTCAAACTCGGAGCTCAATTTTGCATTCAATGACAAGTATAGGCCTGAGCTGACAATTGAGTCAAGCAGGGCCAGCAATCCTGCTCTGCCGGCTGACCCCGAGTTATCGAGCTGGCCCGACGAGCCGAGACCCGGCTTGCCGGCCCATTGAACTTATTCTTTCACCAGCCGGCCACAAGCTGGTCAAACCTGGCTGGCCCGAACTGGGCAAGAATATGCTTGATAATCTAGGCTGGTTGTCTGGCAGACCAAGATGGCCCTTGAGACCTGTGGGATACAAATAAACCTTGGATTGAGATAGTTGGAGCTCATTCTTTTATTTCCACCTTTTTTGAAACACGGGTCCAAGATGACAATTGAGTCAAGACAAGCTGGCAATCAGAGTATCAACTGGCTGAAATCAAACCGATCTCGACGAGCCAAGACCCTCTCTTACCCAGATGAGAAACTCGAAGCAAATCCAAAGCTGAAATGCAAGATTTACCCGAAGCAGTAAAATACCAAAACCGTGTAAGCAATGCCTGCTTGTCTAC